TGTGTGTGTGTGTGTGTGTGACATGCTGAACCATGTCACAATTTAGCACAAACTGGCATCATTTAATATTTACACGGTGTAAAATAATATTATGTGTTTTACTATTTTTAGGTTTCTATTAGACAAACTTGACCTGCTGAGAAGATGGTCAGCCAATATCTGGAGAGACAAGTTTCATCCTAAAGTATCACTGGATATGCAGTGAACATTTTCTAAGTGTCAACTGGTAAGACATATTGATGTGACGTTCACGAACGATCCGAGTCTTTTGAATGGCTCTTTACAATGAACAATAGGAGCTGCAGTCACGGGCAGTAACGAGCCATTTGTAGTTTTTATTTCTATTATTCTTCATATAATCTTTATTTTTTATCCTTAAATTGCTCCTGCTTTGCTTTTTCATGGAAAACAGGCAGAGCAGTGGAGTACAGAGGCTCATGGGAAAGGGGGAGGGGGGTTTCTGCTTGACAAAACACATGGTTCCACCCACGTAACGTGATGATGTCATCACATCGCCATACGTGATGACGTATTTCCCTATGTGATGACGTAACTTGTTCAAAATCAAACAGCTCTTTTGGACAGCTCTATGAAACAAACAGCTCCCCAAGATCCGGATCCCTTCAAAGAGCCATTTATCCCATCACTAGTGGGCAGCACTAATTCAAAAGTTAGTTGCGCAAATTCTAAAGCACTAGTTAAATAATTTAGTTCCATAATTTCTAAACCACACGTGACAAAAGAATCTTAGCGGAATCTAAAACAAGAGCACAACTTCATCTCAGTTCACCAGGATTTATGTTTCCAGTGATAACATGAGCCATTCTTCAAAAAGAAAAAATAAGTAGGTCCTCTGGATGTATTACCGAGATGCATCAGGACATGAGCCATTCTTGCACAATACTGCCTACTTCTGCTTTAGAGTTTCTCTGGTACTCTCAAGGTGGCGATTCCAATCAGGCAAAATGGTGTGGACAAAATTCCGCCGAGCCAAATCTATCAGATCCTCCAAGATCAATTCATCTGGCCAGCAAAGTCCAGGGACCACAGCCGGCCCACGACCCTCAATAGAACCGTTTGCAGACCGAGTCCAGCTCGCTCAAGGCAAAAAGGCTCAAGGCATGACAAATTGCTTTCATCCAATTAGCCCCAGTTTGAGGAAGTGATTTACAGAAACAGATTTTTGACTCATGGTGTTAAAATAGGACGTTGTTGTGGATTGCAAGTTCTGCTGCTTTTTGGTAATTTTTCTTATGCTTATGGTAGGGCTTCGGTAAGAAAGCATGCAATATATTAGTAATTTTAAACTGTTTATTGAGAACTGAAGCGATGCATTCTGGGGAAAGGACAAAATTTTAAAAACGTGTTCACTTCAAAAGAAGAGCATGAATTTAAACTGTGCCGTGCTTCAATACAATGTGAGACAGCGGGTTGGTGGTTGAAGATGTAGCGTGACATAAATTATTATAATTCCTCCCTCTACCCTCTCAAAGCTCATATAAAAAACAATAATTATGGCTGGATTGTTGGGGAAACTTTTATTTTTCTGTCAACAGTGGTTCTAGAAAAAACGACATGAAAAACAGCTGATGTTCAATAGGATTAAACCAGCTGCTGATCGAGCTCTTTTAACAACTGGCCTTAAAGAAAAAAGTCATTTTAAACAAATAACATGAATTAGGAGCTGCTGGAGCATTTCCTCAGCATATCCTCAAGTGTCCCTCGTTGTGTGTGTGTGTGTGTGTGTGTGTGTGTGTGTGTGTGTGTGTGTGTGNTCCACAGCGCTGGTGTGTTAAGGAAAAAAGCCGTTGTGGTTTTACCGTTCTGTCTTTTGTTTATTTATTGCCAAAAAATTTTATATAGAATAGAATAGAATAGAATAGAATAGAATAGAAATAGCCTCCCCCAGCCTAGTTCCCTCTGTTGCTACCCCCACCTCCACCCTCTGCTGGGTTCACTTCTCAGGACTTCACACCTCAGCTCCTGACCATCATCACCCCCACTCTTTCCAGAGGACTCCATCTCACAGTCTTCCTCCTCCACCTCCATCTTGCCCCTCTCAACACTTCAGGTGAGGAACAAGCTGCGTAAGATCAAGGTGCAGAAGGCTGCAGGTCCTGATGGCATCAGCTCCAGGCTCCTGAGGTGCTACGCAGATAATGCCAGTGTGGCATGGGATTCATGTTCAATCTGAGCCTGAAGCTGGAGAAGGTACTGCAGCTGTGGAAGACCTCCTGTGTGGTACCTGTGCCCAAGACCAAACACCCGATATCAGCAGCTACAGGCCGGTGGCCCTGACATCGCATCTAATGAAGACCTTCTAGAGGCTGGTCCTCAACCATCTTTTCTCCCTAGTAAGGTCTTCACTGGATCCGCTGCAGTTTGGCTACCGATCTGGCATCGGGATGGATGATGCCATCATCTGCCTCCAGCACCAAGCTCTGACCCACCTGGAGCAGCCTGGAAGCACTGTGAGGATCATGTTCTTTGATTTCTGTAGTGCTTTCAACACCATCCAGCCAAGACTTCTGAGGGACAAGATGAAGTCCCCCGGAGTGGACCACCACATGTCCCAGTGGATTCTGGACTATCTCACAGACAGTCCACAAAATGTGAGGACACAGGGCTGCGTCTCGGACACGCTGGTCTGTAGTACGGGGACACCTCATGGAACAGTGCTGGCACAATTCCTCTTCACCCTCTACACTGCAGACTTCACCATCAACACCCCACACTGCCACCTACAGAAGTTCTCTGATGACTCTGCCATAGTCAGCCTCATCACAGGTGACGACAACTCAGAGGACAGACAGTGGACTCAGGACTTTGTGGACTGGTGCCAGCAGAACCACCTCCTTGTCAACACTGCTAAAACCAAGGAGCTGGTGGTGGATTTCCGCAGGCACAGACCCACCTCATTGACACGGTGAACATCAAGGGAGTAGACATTGAGATAGTGGACTCATAAGTACCTGGGTGTTCACCTGAACAAGAAACTGGACTGGACTCACAACACGGACGCTCTTTACAGGAAGGGTCAGAGCATACTCTACCTGCTGAGGAGGCTGAGGTCTTTTGGAGTGCAGGGGGCACTCCCGAAGACGTTTTTTGACTCTGTGGTGGCATCAGCCATTTTCCACGGCGTGGTTAGCTGGAGCAGCAGCTTATCAGCTGAGCAGCTGAGAGGAAGCGGCTGGATAAACTCATCAGGAAGGTCAGCTCTGTGCTGGGATGCCCCTCGACACAGTGCAGGTGGTGGGAGACAGAAGAACTCTGACTAAAATAACATCATTGATGAACAACGTCTCCCACCCCATGCGTGAAGCTGTGACTGAACTGGAGAGCTCCTTCAGCGACAGACTGCTGTATCCGAGGTGCACAAAGGAGCGTTATCGTGGATCCTTCCTCCCAGCAGCTGTCAGACTTTATAGCCAGCACCACACCCAAAAATCACAGTAAGCGTTTACAAAAATCACAATGTGTTTACAAAGATCACAATAAGTGTTTACAAAAATCACAGTAAGTGTTTACACACCTGCTGCTGCACAATCATTTGAACTGTTACTATTCATTGTAATTACTCAACTGAACAATCAAGTTCAAGTTCAGTTTATTTATATAGCGCCAAGTCACTACATACGTTTGTCTCAGGACACTGTACATAAAAAGAACAATGTAAAGAAGAAAGCAGCAGATTGTGTTGAATCACTTCATCACAGTCTCCCATCCTGAGCAAACGGTGGAGAGGAAAAACTCCCTGCTAATCAGGAAGAAACCTCCAGCAGAACCAGGCTCAGGACAGGAGGCCATCTGCCTCGACCGGCTGCTTGGAGGACAGGAAAGAGACACAGACAAACACAGAAGAACTGGTCCAGGACTGGTCCAGGACTGGTCCAGGACTGGTCCAGGTGCAACTTCTTCAGGAAGAGACAAAGAAAAAACATGATAGAAATAATAACAATGAACATGTAGAGAAGAGAGACTAAAGACAACAGCAGAGTGAGGAAATGTGCTCAGTTTGTGCTCCAGCAGTCTAAGTCTATAGCAGCAGAAATGAAGAATAATTCAGGAAACCTAAGTCTAACTATAGGATTTATGAAAAAGGAAAGTCTTCAGTCTAATCTTAAAAGTAGACAGAGTGTCAGCCTCACGGACAGAAACTGGAAGTTGGTTCCACAAGAGAGGAGCTTGATAACTGAAAGCTCTGCCTCCCATTCTACTTTTAGAAACTCCAGGAACCACAAGTAAACCTGCAGTCATGTTCCATGTAACATGTACATGTACCATGTACATGTTCCATGTAACATGTACCATGCTCCATGTACCATGTTCCTCATGTTTTCGGTTGTTGTAAGTAGACATTTTGGCATTTCTGATTGTGTGTGTTTGATTTGAACTAACGGTGGCAGGTTTTTACTTGTGTGTATGAGAGTTTGTTCTTGTGMGTATGAGGTTTTCAGTTGTGTTTGTGAGAAAAGTTATGTTTCATTATGAAATGTAAGATGCTTATGTTGCAAGATGTGTATGAAACCTAATGCTGAAAAATGTCACAGATGGTCCCTCATATAAGTCTTTTCTATGATGCTTTTCTATTTTACGCAGAGTATTGTAGCTGCATAAACAAGCCCACAAAACACTGACTGGTATAAAAACATCAGGCAAACAACTATAAATCTTCCTTATGACTCCCATTTAAAAAGCAGTATAACCAGCAGAAAGCCACAGAAACTTTCAACGGCTTCTCCAGCAATGAGCTTCTTGCGCAACCTTGCAGGAGGCTGGAAGAAAGCTGAGCTTTAAAGGCAAAGGAGCAGGCGGTTCTGCAGTGACATCATGGGCTCCGCCAGATTATAAATGCAGTATGGACGCCTTCACAGACCCTTTTCTGAGCTCAAAGTAGACCAGACGCTGTTGAAGAGATCATGGCACCAGCTGGAGCAAAAAGAGTAAGAATTGCATTCATCATTCACCTTTAGTGTTTTTATTTACATTTTATGATTATCGGTTAAAAGGTGTTTACTTTCTCATAAACGTTTAACTAATATTCCCCTTTATCCTGATATTCTCAGAACATATTGGAGCGCTTGGATGCAGGAGAAATTGTCATTGGGGACGGAGGCTTCGTCTTTGCTCTGGAGAAGAGAGGCTATGTGAAAGCAGGACCGTGGACCCCCGAGGCTGCAGCTGAACACCCTGATGCAGGTACCCTTTGCTCCCAATAATGTAAAGCAGTCAGATCATTTGCTGAAAGCAGACTGTGGTCTCGTTCTAGTGCGCCAGCTGCACAGGGAGTTCCTGAGAGCCGGGTCCAATGTCATGCAGACCTTCACTTTCTACGCCAGTGACGACAAACTGGAGAACAGGGGCCATACTCAGCGCTTTACTGTGAGCAGGGGGTCCATCTGAGGCTGCAGCTGCTCACAGCTCTCATTAGAAAGAAAAATATTCTGAGGAGCATACACTGTAAAAATAACTTGGAAGATTTACTTGAGAAAATCCTGTAAACGATTTGCACTAACGTTCGGTAAGTAAATTTAAATGCCACAAATTCATGTAATAATTACTCTCATCGTTATCTAGTAAAAGTTATTAGGAATATAGATAAAGATTTGTGAATAAATCAAATAAATTTTACTTAATTTGCTCAGTTAAATCATGTAACATATATTTGATCAAATTAAGTAAAATTTACCTGATTTATTCACAAATCTTTAACTATATTCTTGATCATTTTTACTAGATAATGAGTAAATA